TTAAATAAAAATAGAAATAATTATAAGAAATATATAGCTCAAAAGCAGGAAGAATCTGGTTCTAGTCGTTAAAGAATAGGGTGGCCCTTGGAATGATCCAAATGCATCATCATTTCACTCATTCTCATCTGATAATTCAGTTTCAGATCTATTTTTACAAAACATTCAGTAAGGAGATGAAAGCGCTTGATACTACCATCTACCGACCAAAGACGGGCACTTCACCCCGACTCAGAGCCGGGCTCAGGGGCAGGATTTCAGAGAAATACAGTACTGGAAATGCAAATCGCAGTCTCCACTAAGAAAAGAAAAGATGCTTCAGACATGGGGCACACAGGGCTGTTGGCCGAAACTGGGGGTGACTTTAGATAGGATCCTGAAATAAAGAGGACATAAAGGCACATCCGTGAGAGCTGTCCCATCACTGGAGACTTAAATTCACCTAAGATTGGAGTAGGATGGTGTGGAGGAGAAATACTCTGTTGTGTCAAACATTTCAGTAACTGTTTCTAACTTGATTATGAGATTAGCTGAGGAAGGAATGTGAATTGAAGAGCTACTTGGACTTCCACAGTCCAAGTAGCTCTGCAGAATAGGGGTAATGAATTAAAGAATTTCAAGTGTAACTCACTGTGAATGGGCTTTGGGCAATAGATGTACGTGTTCTACCAAATTGTAATATTTTATGATTAGTCAACTTTATACAAATAGCTGAATTTGTGGTTTATTTGAAAACATTGACGGTCCCAATTATCAATTATTTCCCAACCAATATGTCAAGTACTTCGCCTGATTCTTTACTTGCTACATACAATATTTTCAGAAGAAGCAAACATTAAATTGTACAAAGAGTCTTATTTCAGTATTTAATGAAAGTGTCATTCTTTTACATTCTAAAAGGTAAAGATGACCAGTCTTAACTTACAATAAATTATAAGGAGAGTTGTATCAGTCAGGGTAGAATAGACTATGCCACAATAGCAATTAAGCCCAAAATTTCTGAGGGTGGGTAGCCTAGATAAGTTATAAGGGACAGAAAAATGCTCACTGTTGCTTGCTTGCTCTTTGCTGCAATCTGCCTGCCCTGCCCTGTCGTGTACTATTTATCCTCTGTGATCCCCCTCTCCTATGCCATCCTGCCTGGACTATAGACTGAAACCTCTATGAACCATGAGATAATTAAATAACACCCCCTCTTTAACTTGGATGTTGGATATTTTATCTCAGCAATGACAAAAGTAAGAAAGACATGGATGCTTGCTTCTCATTTGTACTGTATGCTTGTCAGGGCCATCTCCTTTCTCTTTCTATCTCCAGCTGTTTCAGTTATATTTTATATTAGGAGTAGTTGTCTCTAGGGGTTATAGAAGGGAATGTTGATGGAGAAGAATGTGTATGGGAGGATGGTATCATGGGTAAGACAAATGAACAAAAACCTGGCAAGGTTGACAATAGAATTTTGTTCTTTCCTCTTTTTCCTTGTTAATGTGCATTTTCTTTTATTAGAACTGAATCTATGTTTAAGTCTTGATGCTCTCTACATTCTTATTGGAAGTTACAGTACTGAAACCAGAAAAAGTATTCAGAATCTGATCAGAGCTGTACATTTCTATCTGCACCAATACAGATAGATAACGTAGATACATACGCATTGATATAGATGATATAGATTCTAGATGAAATGAGGTTCAAAAGGAACTCAGAAACCTTAGATTGAATTGAGTCACTAAACAGAAGAAAAGTGATAAAAGGTCCAGACTGATTATATTTTCAAACAAGGAATAATGAGTAATGTGTGTTACTTTAGCAGTCTCTTTACATTTTGAAAGGTTTGTAGGCAAGACAAATATTATTTTAGAAAGTCCTAGAATTTTAGAATTAAAATTCTGCTCTTGATTGAATGAAAGCCAACTTCCAGTTATTTGTATAAAGTTCAAAATTCTTCATAAAGAAAGATGTTCATCTGAGAATAGATTTGTCTTCAGATCTCTTGGTAAATATATGGATATTACCTAGCTTCTAAAATGTAAGAGAATTTCCTTATATTGTACTCCAACATGTGTGATCCATCCAAACTCACTCAAGAATGATAGAAATCAATGCAGCAAATTTAATGGAGTACAGAATTTTGGCAAATTGAAGATTATTCTATGTCAAATGAAAAGAACTTCCTAGAAAAAATAAGTATCTATGGTACAATTCTTACAATAGAGAACAAGCATTAAAAAAGGTTAAGACCTGTAAATTCACATCCTAGTTAGGCAACTTTAGATCTCTGTGACACTGTATGTATCTTAATCTCTCAGTGACGATTTCCTGAGGACACTGAGATAATTATATCATCTACATATCAATATTAGGTTAATTACATATTTCAGTGTCTATAAAGTACATAGAAGAGAGCATGGTGCATGGTAAACGTTGAAAACTTTTGAGGAATAAATAATTGCATAAACAAACAGACATTAATCTCACTACAAACTATACAATGTCACCTTCCTCTCACAAATTGCACACAGTACCACACCAGATACAAGAGAAGTCTTTCATCCAGATGACTGTCAGGCAAAATGGCAAAGAAAGAGTATCACATGAAGCTCACCCCCAACAAATGTGCAACCCTTGGCTCAGTGCCTTCCTCAGAGCCAAATTTACCTCCTTGTTTCTCAAGGAATAGATCAAAGGATTCAGGGAAGGGGTCACAATATTATTCAGCATCTGAACCACAGAATCCAGCCAGGGGCTGGAGGCAGGTCGCAGGTAAATGAGGACCACTGGGCCATAGAAGAGCAGGATGGAGGTTAGGTGGGCACTGCAGGTGGAGAAGGCTCTGCGCCTGCCTTCTGAGGAGCGTATTTTCAATATGGAGAGAGTAATTCGAGTGTACGAAGTGAGGATAAGGAGAAAACACATGAGAGCAACCACCCCCACATTAGTGAAACTCACAATCTGTGCTAGAGAGGTGTCTGCACAAGCTAGGGGCAGCACAACGGGGATGTCACAGAAAAAATTGTGCACCTTGTTGGGGCCACAGTAGGGTAACCTGAAGATGAGCAATGTGAGCACAGATGCATGCATGCAGCTCGCCAGCCAGGTGCCCAGAGTCATGAGGACACACACACGATGGTTCATGATGACCATGTACTGCAGAGGGTGACAGATGGCAGCAAAGCGGTCATAGGCCATCACGGTGTACAGAAAGCACTCGGTGCAACCCAGGAAGTGGTAGAAGAAGAGCTGGGAAGCACAGCCCTGGTAAGAGATGCTGTGGCTTTGCCCCATTAGGTAGACCATCATTTTGGGAGAACTCACTGAAGGGAAAAATATGTCAAGCACTGACAGGTTTCCCAGGAAGAAATACATGGGGGTGTGGAGGCTGGAGGAGGTGAGGATGGCCAGAAGAATGAGCAGGTTTCCCAGCAGTGTGAGCAGGTAGAAGGCCAGAAAGAGGACAAAGAGCACATTTTCCATCCCGGTGATGTGAGGGATTCCCATCAGGAGAAAGTCACTTACAGAAGTGTGGTTCCACATCCTCACTGTAGTTCATCCTGGAAAAGGAAGAAGAGCCTCGCTGAGAGGAGCTTCTCCCCAACATATAAATATCCTTAGAGACTCCACTGGAAGCTAATGATACCTATGAACTGTAAAGCACTTATAAATAGGGTTCAGTCTACTTCTGTCATTAATTAAGGGGTGACTGTGTGTCTGTCATATTTACTTTTCAAATATTTCTTCACCCTTTTTCCCAATAACATTGAAAAAAATCTGTACATTTCCCCTGAATCTCTACAAACAGTACACTATGATCTAATGGTTCTTATAAAAATTAATGTAATGCTGCCCCTACCCATCTTTTTTTAAGGAACCTATTCTGATTTTAATGAAGCTTTATGTTACAGCATTATGTTGGGTGATTTAAAGCAGCCTGGCATTACATCTTTTGAAATAGAAGATTCCCAAATCTGCTTTCTCAGTCATTCATCAGAACAACTGAGCAATGAATCCTGACTCTTCGGTAAGTAATAAAACAGAAGAAACAATAGTACTTATCATGCAAACACATTTGCCAATGTTAACAACTGGTTCAATAAAAGGTTTAATGAATATAAACTATTTATTGAAATGGTGTCCCTAAACACCTTTGATTGAAAAATGAATGCAAGACACTAATGTTTCAATTCTAAATAGTCTTTACATCACAACTTTTCTGTAGAGTGAGTAGGGACAGTCTGGATTACCTACTCAAGTGGATGCTTCACAAAGCTGTTTTCTCCATCATCAGGCAGAACAACTGAAAACTGGTATTTGTCTAAAAAAAAGAGAGAATGAGGTAATATGCAATATACTAAAAAAAATGCATGATTACCAATGTTAACAAGTGTCTGTTTCAGTGCAGAATTTAGTCTGAGTTGTAGTGTTATTTGCAATAAAAATGAGTTGTGTGCAACCCATGGACAATTTTTATATCTTCATTAATCAGGAAATATCTTAAGAAAATATCATGGAGTCCACTCAGTGATTATTCACCCAAACTTAAGCAGAGCTACTCTTTCTTGCATTCTACCCATCCTCCTAGAGCCCAAATAGCCCTCAGAAAACATGAACACTATGAGAAGACAATGGGCCAAAGAAAAAGCATCTACACAGTGGAGGGAAATATGATCATATTGGGCTAAAACCCAGGCCTCTCATTACCCAACCATTTCTTTTAACCTTAGAGCATGTAGACTGAAGAGCCAGACTCTGGAGCCAGAAAAGCTGAATGTTTCTCATTCTCAGATCCAGATACTCAAATGTAAAAGCCTAGATGCAACAGCACCATGAGGCCTGAGAGAAGAAGCAGGAGAAATCCCCTCAGGAGAGAGTAAAGGTCTCCAGCTTCCTTGAGACCCTCATCCCTGGTGGGCACTGACTTGAACGTGTGTCACAGAGGGAGCAATTAGAGTGGAGATGACCCTCCCTCTCCTCCTTCCCCTTTGCCTACTGGCTTCCCTCAGGACTTCTTAGCCTAAAGGGCAGTTACATGGCATCCCTTAGGTACATTCAGGTTTTCTTTTTTTTTTTTTTTTTAGTTTATTAGTGCATGTGTGTAGTACACAATGTTTACAATTCTGGGAAGTTGGTACATGTATATGTTAGGTACATTCAGTTTTTAAAGCTTTTTAAATTATTGAACATGGTTTCCTTGAAGTAGAGGTCCAACACTTGGGTTCAGATATTTCAGACTGTCCGGTGATCTTGTGCTTAGAGAATCAGAGTTTGAAGAAAGACCTGAAAATTACAAAAGTAGGCACCCAGAGAAAAGAGGCAATAATTACATCTGAGGCTAAAGTACAAAACAAAAGCAATCTCCCTGTAACTGTGTTCCACAATTAGTATTACACTTCCCCATTATGGTTTGTACACCTACTGTGTTCCCATGTTACTTGTTTTCTGAAAACTCTGCTTTGTATTTTTCCCTTAGGACTACTACTGATGTCTATTTCCATAGGTTTTATTATTATAATGAGTACAATGTATATTTTAATAATTCAACCTCATGTCCTCTATGTAGAGAATAGATCAGCCCACACAAGTGTCAATTAGGTAGTGTGAGCACACTATTTTTACCAATTTTCCAAGGTATATGTATATTGACTCATTAAGAATGATGTGGGTAAAATCCTTTTGAAATAATGCAGGAAGTATGAAAAGACTATTGTAATGAGGATTAAGTAATCTTGAAAACATTCTCATAATTACTGTCTTTCATAATGGCAGAGGGAATATATGAGATTCTCTTCCCTATGATTTTGAATTAGTAACAACTGCCTATTAATAACCTTTTCTTTCCCAGCCAGACTATTTAAGGCCCTTTTATTATATTGCTAAGTCCTTGTTAGATTATATTTTTCTTTCTGAAAGCATAAAAATAAGGCTCAGAAAGTTGACAAATTTTCCTCTAAAACTTAATTTGGAATTTAAATCTATCTAAATTAAGTTATGCTCAATTTTTTAAGATGCGATTAGCATTTACATTGCTGATCTTGAGTGAAGAATATTGACCTCCATAATGAGAACCCTCATCCAATCAGTTGAAGATCCTAATAGAACACATCTGATCCTCGCCCCCAGCAACCAGAGAACCCTGCCTGACATCCTTTGAGCTGGAACATGGGCTCTCCCTGCCTGATGGGCTTCAAAGCAGGCTTGTTGTTCTACAGGACTTTCTTTGTTTGGGACTCAAACTGGAAAACTATTCTGCATAATTTGGATTTGCCAACCTTCACACTCACTGAAGCTAATTCTTTACAACAAAACCCAGAAATGAATGCATAAATGTCACCAATTGACTGTTTCTCTCTTTTATGTGTAATTCATTTTCTAGAGAATTCTTCTATAGTGAATGATCTAGTGGTAGCTTACAGCTCGGCTTTCCCTCTCTTGCATATGCCTACTGATGATATTGCTGTTTTTGTGAGTTACATACTGTTACCTGAAACAGGCCATTGGGAAATAAATTTCAAATAAAGAGTAAAGCTATAAAATCATTTCTATCACAGTGCATAGCATGAACACAAACAAATAAGGCCTCTTGAATAGCAGCCAAGTTCTGCTGCTTCTGAGATTTTGTCTCCTGGATGAAGCAAATGCAGTGAGAATGTCATGCCAAAATGCACAGAATGTCCTTGCTGTATTGTCACAGGGGAATAGCTTTCTGTGTTGTGTTTTTAGCTGCAGGTGTGATTATTCCCTTTTTCTCTCATCTAAAAACACTTTCAGCATAACTTTTAATTTAGTTAAACTTAAATTAAAAACCAAGTAAACCCAAAACAAAAAGGCTTCTGGTTTTCTCTTTGAAATATACTTAACCATACTAAGTATACCAAAAGCGGGACATGATTTTTTTCATATCTATAAACGTTTTATTGATAAGTGTTCGTGGCTGCTGGATTAACATGCATAGTTCCCTTCAATGTATATGTACAAATAGAGTTTATACTATTTCTTTGGGTAAATGTGTAGATGACTCATGCTTGCCATCAACTCTCTGAAACATCTGGTGTTGACGCTATTTCTTGACCAAAATTATTTATCTTTATAGATACATTTTAATACATGTGTTGCAATCACAATTGTCCAGGGGTGACCATAATTACAACCCTTTCTCTTTTGTCCACAGAAGAGGGTACAACCTCTTGCTTCCTGGTTGAGGGGTGTGGAGCTGTAGTAGTCACTTCAGTTTCTCCTATTTACTGAGTCATCTCCATAAAAGGAAAACTTTCCAAGTAACCAGTGGGAATCTCACATCCAAAGGGACACAAATTTACATTCTTTGATTGTGGAGGAATAAAATAAATTTTACTCTGACTTTTCAGGGCCTGCTCATAAACTGCTAACAAGGGCAATATTCTCTGGTTTTGTACCTCAGACATAAGACTTTGTTGGTCAGACCTACACTCATTCACTTAGAGAAAGGGGTTGTGCATTGAACAGTTCTGAGTACAAGTTGCTTGGAAGCTAGTTCTTTCAAAATCTCTATATTGTTGGTCATGCAGCACTTGCCCAGCTTAATAAAATATATACACCAAAAAAATCCTTAATTATAACTAAATAGAATAAGTAATCTGAGTCTTACTTTTAAAAATAAACATGCTAAGTCCTGAAGCCTTATCCATTTTCCTGTTGTTTAGCTTTCTTTTCTTTCTTTCTTTTTTTTTTTTCCAGTACCAGGGATCAAACTCAGAACCTTGCGCTTGCAAGGCAGGTGTGGTGCTAGCTTTGTTTTCTAAAACGAAGGATTAACTGATTTAAAAATTCAGTTCTTTCAACCAGCAATTGTTATTATATCTTTTAAATACTTTGAATGAAATTTAATTTATATGCCATAATACTCACCAATTTTAAGTGATATTCAGAGAATATATATTTACAAAGCTGTGCAGATATCATCAAATCCATTTTTAGAACATTTCCCTCTGGTAAGAGTAAACTCTTGCTCATTTATAATCGTTCTTATTCACACATCAACTCTAGTTCATCATTAACCTCTTTTCTGTCTCTACAGACTTGGCTTCATTTGGCATATACTTTAAATGGAATCAAAATCTGTTTTCTTTTTGGCTTGACTTCTTTCAATATAATTTTTTGAAATTCTTCTCTTCTGTTGCATAAGTAGTGCCAATATTTTGGTTTATTGTTATTGATACATAGTTTTCCATTTTATGAAGAATTTTATTTCCTCAAACATAGGCTAAGATTAAATTTCTATTACATATAGGCATCAAAAAATTTTTGATTTAAAGTTAGTAATATTTTGAAGATCTCAAAATTGTCATCATCATTACTGAGTCAAAATTGAATTATTGGGCTGGGGATTTAGCTCGGTGGTTCTGCAGCCTGCCTCGCAAGCTCAAGGTCCCAAGCTCAATATCCAGTACCAAAAAAAAAAAAAAAAGTGAATTATTTTGAGTCATCACATATTAAACAGCTTAATGAGTGAGTTGTAGAAGATAATGTGGATGACTTTAATTATCTAGTTTTAGCTAATC